CAGTACACCCGAAACATTAAATCACATAAGATGGGATTGTGCAGTGCATTAGTTTGATGAAAAATATTTTGTGTTTCTCTTTTTCTAGTTTTTTCGTATTTTTAAAAACCTCTCGTACAATAATATGTTATATTTAAAGTCCACAAATAAATACAAGTGTCGGTCACATAAAAGATTGAAAAATAAAGAGATTCATAATAAATCTAAAACACTATATCTGGTCATCTGGAGTATACAATTGAAAAACCTATTTATAGTAGTTTGCTCATAATATTACCACGTCAATACAATATCAAGTTATCACATAATTTGCTACATTAAATTTACATACAAATGTATAATACCTACAAAATAAGTTTCTACTCAAACAGGTAGTATAAAATAGTTCAAAAATGGCTATTTATTAATATAGTTTTGAAGTGAAGAGTTATAATTTTACTTAATTTGGATACCAGTCTAATATGATATTATTACAAAGGTAATTCTTATATATATATATTACATTCAACTTACATAAATTTTATAATTCCATATGATAAATGTGCCATGAATACAATAAAACCAAAGATTGTAAAATAAACAACAAAAAACTAAGTTAAGGTTTTACTTTTCGTAACAATATAAAGTACTAGATGATATTAACATTTTTTTTTAAAAATTTTTTCAACAACTATTTTTTTTTTTTTAGTATTATTTTCGTTCTATTTTTACAAGAACAATAAAATACGTGTATTTCTTGATATTAGTCATAACTTAAAATAAATACAAATCTTAATCATACACCTATTTATATTGTATTATATCAATTTAAAGAATTATTAAAAATGATTTGCTTAAAAATATAATTCAATACTTTATTAAATAGCATATTAATTAAGGGGGTTATGAAGTATGTAATTCAAAGAAAAATGTTAAGACGTAATGTTTCATAATATAATTTACATCATACAAGTGAATTACCTATGTTTTCTTATCATTATTTTATTTACGTTAAAACGTTCTTCGTTATTTCAAAAGCATTATAAACCTTCAAATACTAATAACCTTGAACATATCGTAGGTATATACACTAAACAATATTAACAATAAAAAAATAATTGTTATTTTTAACACATTAACCCTACCTATATTAAAATAAAAAATACCATAGGTACTCATAATCTAAAAAAATTGTATAAGGCTCAAGGTAATTTTTATGCAAAAAAGTGTGGTCATTACCTACTCAAATATATACACATTACACGGTACCTATAACAGGTAGCCTATTTCTTTTTTTTAATTTAGTTAAAACGAATTTTTCAAGTGACATTGATTTCTTCTATATTCACTATATAATCTAGTTTTTAAACTTACCCTAATATTTTGATACTCTTCAAAAAATAACATACTGGATTTTTGTATGGCCATTTTCATAATTAACGAAAAACAAGATAGTTGTCTGTAGAAGCTGTGTGACAACCACGTGGATTGGATTAGTGTGTGGTAAAAAAATACCCAATAAAATCTTTGAATAGACTTTTATCTATGCCCATACAAGGTACTTTACCTGCTGTACGCTCGCGAGTACATTTTCACATAGTCAACTAAAAAATATAATGTAGTTTCGTATACAATGGTGGTCTAGTGTGTATAATAATGTCTGGAGCCTGTTCCATTTTTCTATGCGCATATTATAACAGGGCTTATGTTTTTATATTTGTTTTTGCTGCGTGTGACTGAGATTACGTATATCACCGTATACCTACCAGAGTCGTTTAAATGGGCTTACGTGTGGGATGGAAATAAATGCACTGCACGACTATATAATATGACAGTCATTAAACGAAAGAAAACGCGAAGCGGGGAGGAAAAAAAGAGATTATTCGGTCGGAGACCCGGGTCAGTTTTATTGCACACCGATCTCACCTAATCCAAGAAGAAATCTGAAAATAAAAATGTCCGAGGAAGAAACGCGTACCTATATAATAATATATAGGACTGGCAGATACGGACTACGGACCTGCAGGTCCACGCATAAAACCTTGGCTTTAGCACTTTGGATGATGTTTTATGAACACTGAGGACTGAATTCCCTCTCACCGATGTCGACGGTAAATATTTCGCTCTGGTAATAACGTGCACCTATATAAAGGGTATTTGTTTATATACATATAAACATATTCCCAGTTACGCTTTTGGAGTTCGGAAACCTACGTAACAATTGCCACAGACGCCCCTCGATAGCTCGATGACTGTATAGTAATACGTATATCCCGTCAGAAGTCAATCCCCCGGTGTGCGTTAACCGATTATTTGTTTTCATATAATGTATACGTACCTATAATAACCAAACAGTTATTTTTTTTCATTTATAAAAAAAAAACATTAACACCCAAATTAACATATTCACATGGAAACAATATACATGAATAATATAAAGCACTATATGCAATTTTTAAAAAAAAAAACGTTGAATTTTAATGAAACATAATAATATACGTATAATATAATTTTATCGTCCTAAAATTTTAATCGATATTGTTTCAAATACTCTATTAAATAAGAAGTCGTAAATTATTTCAAACAAGCTGTACAGATTTTATCATGTCACAACTGTATTGTGTTTAAAAAATTACATTAAGTACCTAAATTATACACTTAAATAAATTGAGTGGTTAGTCTTTGATGGAATTGTGAATATCCGACAAAAATTGTATATAATACAAATTACAACATTTTAAATATACTTGCATACTTATAAATTATAATTTCCATACCCTTAATAATTATGGAAGCTGGAATTATTATGTACAGCTTTAATCGGCCATAGCCATTTAATAACTTAGGAATATCATTTCAGTGAATAAAGTATACATTCTCAAGGAAAAATTAACACAGTTTTATCGAAGAATTAAAATAAAAAATATCTATCAACTTATTATAAAATAAACTCTGAGCAGTTATAATGGTAAATTAAAAAATAAGGACACATTTAATCTGAAGGTTAATGAAAGACGATCTAGTTGAAGAAAATAAAAAAGTGCTGTGAACAATATCTGGGTGGAAGGCACAGGGTGAAGTTCCCGAATATCACCACACCACTAATGTTAATCGTAATGAATACAACTTTGAAAATGACTGATGAAGGTTAAACCACTGGAATCGTAATGACAGGCTTCACAAAATATAGCATATAAGCAACACCATTAGTTCAAATAACTTGTGTAAACTCAAAAACAAGTATTTCATTTGAATATATACAGTGTCTGTAATTTTTTTAAATAAATGCTCATTGACTGGTATAATTAATTTTTGTGGCCACACAATTTAATTAACAAACAACTTTAGACCACATACTGTTTTTGTTAAGACTGTATAGGAAACTCAAAGGTCAAAATAATATTTATGAAATAGATACTTAAGGACTTAGACTGTTATAATGTTCAAGTACATTGTTTTAAGTAAGTAAATAATTTAAATATTAAGATAAATAAGCACAAGTTATGTTTTCATCACAATGAAGTAGTTATGAAGCTTAAAACTAAATTTAAGTAATTAACGTAAATAATTCAACAAATAACTAAGAAAAACGTGTTTGTTTTATATCGTTTAACTATTGAGAACACTTATTTTTAAAACTTTATTATGAAGCATATTGTTGTGTTATAGACACAAGTTGACAGTACACAGATATCAATTTTCTCTTAAGGTCCAAGTACCATTCTAAAGTTTCGGTTAACTCAATAACGTTTGACCGTCTGTATCTTTTTTTCTGTCTTTTTCGATTTGGACGATTTCAACATGCCTGTTAACCAATAAGTTATATTGGTTGAAAACTTGGATAATGGATCTACTTAGAGACATCATAGTTTTCTTACAAAACAAATTTCATTTGAGTTTGAGAAATAAAAAAAAAATTCTTGGGATCCATCCAAAATAATATTATGTACATAAAAAAACAAATTGATTCTGTCATGGTCACACAAGTTATCTTCTGTATTATATATATATTATACGTCATATACTCATGAGTGTATAATATTATGTAATATATATATTATATATATTTCCTCTCTTCCTTCCGTCTCTTTTCCTTTCTTCCGGTAACTTCGACCTCCGGTAGAGAAATGATGGATGACAAAGTTGTCTTTGTTCCCCTCCACTCGAAAAACCCACTGCCATTTCCAGAGCAACGACGATGATACACGCGAATTAATACGTCCACTGACGATCATAACTCATTGTTTGACCGAGATGACAAGGCTTGGATATATGGAAAAAAGCATGCATCCTATATCTGGAAACAAATTATACGATGGATCATATACATCGAGAACTGACAACATGTATGAACTATGTAAACATCAAACATCAGTGTTAGGAAACTACTTTATCGATTAAAAACAATTTTTGGATGGTATCAATATAGAACTATGACATCTAATTTGAAATAAATCAAAGGTTTAGTTTCGACAAGTTGGATTCATTTTCTAGTTATAATAAGATGTTTTAACAATCAGTTTAAATCAATTTAAAATAATCTCTTCTTTGAAACAAAATCATTAACTGTGATGCTCATGAGAGAGTATCAAACCAAATAAAAAAACAAAAATATAATTCGAACTTAAATTAGTTCTTAGTGAATATTTATTTATTTTACAATTTATTTTTGTGTGTATAATCCATTTCAATTTGATAATATTTTCAATGAATATAGGTACTACATTGAAACTGATATTGTATACATTATATAGACGGATACGGGATAGGTCAATCTTTTGAATAACTCAGTCATTCAGTGTATAGCATAAAAATATGAGACGTATTCAGAGTAAGAAAAAAAATTGGTATGAAAATCGTACATCCTTTGATAATCGCTATAGAGAAATGTATAGTAAAGACGTGCTAGAAAATGTAGAAAATATTCATACACGTGTAACGTACACCTCACATAATCTAAATGTGATTTATGAAAAACCATATTCGACAAAAACTTATTTCCGTCGTGCTTTCTGTTGCAGACGTCATTCTATTCTACGTCACTGAAAACGCTCATATCCGTATCCACCATCATTCTGCTGGGTTTGATCATGGCCTACCACGCGCTCGAAGTACAGGTAAGCTTAAATCTTTTGTATATTATGTGCCATGAAAATTTTACAAACAACCTTCAAAGTTTCAATTGTATCAACAAAAGAAAAAAATAATATACGTCACTTTTACTAACATTCAAATACAATATCGAGTAACCGGAAACATTGAAAAGAAATCTTTTCAAAAACTTTACTTGAAAACTTACTTTACACAATGTAACCACCGATGTCAGGTGTAAATGTTATTTCAGTAGTTTCATTTGCACCAGGAACTCGATTGGAGGTTTCTCTGTAGCTTAGAATCCTCCATTATTATTCATTTCGAAAAGCAAACAATCAACAAAAGAAAAGTTTTCACTAACTTTAAGTCGTGTAGGTATCATAAAATAATAACTATTATATGGTTCACTCAATATTATTACTCAACTTAAACATATTTTTTTATTATTATTATATTTTGCCTTGTAAAAACTTGTACCCTAATAATAAATCTCATTTAAATAACCATTTGTTAAAAAAATAAGTTATATTTTTCTTACATTCAACTCGCATTCAAATAAATCAATTAAAATGGGGGTGAGTAGGTAATTGCTCTGCAGTGTTCCTGTACATCTATAGGAGTAGAGTATACCTCGTGATTGAGTAGGTCACTGTGATGGATGTTTTAAATTTGAATTCAATAATAAATCATAATTGCATATTATAAAAAATGCTTCTGAGCGGAGAATTTTTGTCAGCCTATTATTATATTAATATATATTAATTTTAATTATTATAGTAATTTATTTTTCTATTCGTAGTACGATATATACTACATAATTAAAAAATATCAACTAAGGACCTAAAAACAACAAGAATCATCGTTTAAATATCGAATTTTGTCCAGATTTTAAAATCTAATGTCCACAAAAAAAAATCAATTTTTATCTTTTTTAGATTTTTAATCCCTGTAAAAACTACTATGAGGAACTTTCTATTCAATTTTCATTTTTTTTTCAATGTGTGGCTCATTATATCTATCATTTTAATACAATGGTTTTAAAATAAATTTTGATGAAACTTTATGTATACAATTATGATATTATAAGTTATAACATAATAATATATTATAACTGTTTAGATGACTGCACACAAATTGTGTAAATTAATTTAATGTTACATCATGAGCATAATTCGCCAATGTTGAATTATAATATATATAAATTTATGATGATGGTCCGTCAGTTTTTCACTCATTATTTTAAAACCAATTTTGTTTTTGGTGCACCCAAAATCTAAAATATTTCATTTCCTACCATTTAAATTGGTTTGCCTTTTTCATTGATATAAAATTTAAGAAAAAATAATATTATTACATAGTATAACTTCTTTTTATAATAAATTAAATTTTAGAGGGACAGTCTACTGCGTTAATTTAGTTTGACCTTATTTTCAGTATTGGGAGTTTGTTATCCTCGGATACATGTAAATTATTGTACAGTATTAGTTTAATGTACGAAAAATAACAAATCTTCTTGTGGGTAAACAAGAGGCAAAGAAATATCGGCAGACCCTGAAAATGCATTTGAGACATTTCTCCAAAAACATAAAAACCACATTATCTGATAAGTCACTTTTACTTAACAAAGCTATTTTTGGCTGACACGGTGAGTGATTTGGTTATTAGTCACAAGGGTCGTATTTAACAGTCATCTCTCGTTTCTGGTTGCCATTTTTAAAATATCAAAGTTAGTGACATTCATATTTCCTCATATGTTATTTTTATAATAGATACTTACTGTTATAGATTGTGTTATCATTCCTAAACTCTGGTGCTCACTGTTATTTTAAATAAACATAAAATACAAAATAAAATTATTATTATTTGAAAATGGCTATTCAAACATAACCACTGCTGCAGGTTCTTGTTGTTAAACTGAAAAATCAAAACTATTGATTATTTACAATTGCGAGTATATCTTCTTCCATCAATTTATTTTTACTTATTTCATATAAATGCATAATATAATTTTTTGCTGGATACACGAAAGAACTTTCAAATGCGGAATGATATATACAGGCCAGTGAAAATGGATACAGTTTTGTTTGTAAAGTAGAATTATGTAGAACATATTCAAAATGACCCACAGGCTGACTCTTCTTGTTTTGAATATGTTTATTATAACAATATTATCTTTCTTCTTATATATTTTAATAGTTCAAAAAATATTCATTTATATTAGGCTATACATGATAATTTATAATTTAAACTCGTGTACTTATAAAGTATAATAATATTCATGCACGTCTATCTGTAAAAAACAAAATACAAACACATATTTTATTAGGCATTGCACCACACATAAAACTGTGCACTAAACTTAAAAACAAATAAACTCGTATTAGAATTAAGAACTCTAAAACATAGAGCTTACTAAGTCTAAATTAAAAGTGAGCTAATTTATTTTGATTTAATATGGTTCGTTTATAGATAGACCGTTCACAAAATAAAAGGTTCGACTAATGATAATTATGCCATTTTATGTAGTTAGGTACCTATATAATATAATAATAGGTATAGTTTTTAAATATTATTTTATTGAACTGCAGGATAACATAAAAAGAAGAACTGCACTAAAATATAATTGAGTTAATATTATATAGTTATTAGTTAATATAGAGTATTTCTATATTATAAACAATATCAATTTATATATAAGTAATATAACTATAGTAATATAATGGATTCCATGAACAGTCGATTTTTATTTATTTCAAATCCTTTTATTATATACTTTGACTTTATTTTTTTAAGATAACAAAATAAGAACTTTATGTTCTTATGGAACTATGTCATCAATAAATTAATAATATAATCTATATGATAATTTCATTCTCTTCGCTTGACTTAAATTATCTATAATGATTAATGGGCATGAAAAACTATTTTTAAACTGTATAGTATAGTTTTTATGGTATTTAGAGCTCAAGCTTCTTTTTACTATTATTATTACTTAGATAATTTAGTTAAATTTTAATATTTTAAAATATAAACTACATAATGTTTAAAATGAGTTTTGGGTTCATTGTTTTCATACATAATAAGTAAATGTAGTAAAAACATAATATTATTATTATTAACAATCAATATTAATGTGAATACACTGTACATAATATAAAATGTCAACAAAAGCACGGAAATAAATAAAATTCTGTGGCGTTGATATATTTTTTTACAAACTTTATGGTTTAATGATGGGGTGATATGGAAATTAAAACGAGGGTAGGTACTATAGTTTTCCGAAAGAACGCACTATGGAATTTACTTTGGGTCGGGACATTCCTTTACAGCAATTATTGATAGTGAACCTAACCAGACCGGATGGCGTAGAAATATAATATATACGTATAATTGGAATAGTTCTGGTCGTTGTTTCCGGTAATAAGAATATAATATTCCCTATGGAAATTATTCGGTAAAACCTGTGAATATTAGAGGGGGGCTAGCTAAGTTAAGGCAGCAACAAGTAACCCCCTCCTGAAATAACACGCAAATTGCACCCAGGAAATATTATAGCTTTAGCTCACTTATACGCACACACACAATCAAGTATTAAGCTGTTTTATTTCTACCCTAAGTTGTTTAGCATAATACACAATACTGCGTGCCAACACTATACATACAAATTCAGATTATTTCTTGTGGCGATTGCCATTGAACACGACACCTTAAACGGTGCCAACGGCGGGGAAGGATAGGTGGAAATATACTAAATGAAATGTCCAAAACGGCAAAGTGTAATTTGACCCTTGCATTAAGTCCCATTTGACACTGTTTTTACAAAATATAACTAGTGTAACGTGGTCGGGGGTAGACCTATAATTACGATATTAGTAAACCAACAAATAATTTATATTCCTAATAGATAAGTTGCCACAGATGAGGATTGATCTGTGATCACTAGGTATTGCAAGAGAATTTTATAAATAAAAAAACACATTTGATTTACAACCCTAAAATTATTTATTTTTTTTAATTCGTACTTTTCTTTAAGTTCACTCGTATAGATGATAATTATTGTAGAACAAAATTCAATACTTGATTTTATTAAAATATAATAATTTAGATGGGACCAAAAAGTTTTGATACTTGAGAGAGTATTTTTTATTTTGGTAAATTTTTCAGTATGTAATTTATATAATATAATACATATATATCATATAAACGGTACACACTATTAGGGACTCCAAAATATTAATTACTTGAAAATTGAACTGGTATATTACATAACATTATTATTTCACATTTTTTAGCTTAAACTATAAACCTAATTTAGTAATACAAATTTCGAAATAAAAATATTCTCATGACATACACAATGTGTTGAAATATATTATAATTAATATTATATTAGTTTAAATTCTTTGTATTTATTCTTGAAAAAATAAACCCATCACAAATTAATTGAATAAGGTATTATATAGTATATCAAATAAAATCAAATGTAAAATTAATTCAATGCTACAAAATTATTTAAAAATTAAAAGCTGACCAGACGTATAATGTACATACCCCATAGTGGCTCGTACACATTTTAAATTTTTAATTCGCTCTGGAACCATAATTACTTATATAATTAGGTATTATCCACATACAAAAAACTCTTCGGCTTTTATGTTGATGAACGAATTCTAAGAAATATATTTACATATAGATAAATAAAAAGAATTCCTGTTTACTGATTTATAACTGATGTTCACTGCTTTTTGAACCATTTACTCATTTTTACACAAATTTTAAAAGTTGATTTTATATTATATTTTATTCCAAGTACCTCAATAGGTTAGCTTTATACCGAATTCAATAGTGGTTTTATATTTTATTTTTGTAAACCTCCTAAAAAGTTCTATACCTAAGTTGATATATCGGAAAAATATCCCTCCAATGTTTGCTCTTTTATTGAAGTAACGTAACGCATGACGTGACTTGAAAGTAAAATGCTGTCAAATATAAACCGTCAGAAAATGTACATTAGACCACTAGCTCATTTGACCAAAAAATAAAAGAAAAAATTTGAAGTAACGCCTGAATTACTTTTATACTAATTAAGAGCAAACATTTTTATTTCATTAAAACGTTGGTACATAAACAAATGTGAATACGTATGTTGTTCAATTATGTATACATGTAATTTTCAATTGTAAGCACATTAAAACCTCGATTGTCCGAAATTGCACGTTTCCAAGCTATATAAACGTGAAAGTGTTGATACTGAGAATTTTTTCAATATGCAATTTTTCAATATGTAGGTACATGCATATTACATATTATATTGATATACATATTTATTTATATTTAATATGATCATACATATCACGAAAATATATACATAATATTATATGATGTATTGATATATAATTTATTATAATATTAATATTGAATTATTATCGTTTGTTATATACATTAATTTACTATAGATAACTGATAACTACATATCTACATGATTAAGTGTACGAGCTCTACAACGCTTATTGATATTTGGATAACAGAGCGTTTGGATACGTAAATTGCGTTTGATATTTGTTCGGATAATAGAGGGTTCGTGTAACGAAGGTTTCGATAATCAAGGCTCTACTGTTTATTAATTTACGAGTAATACAATAAAATAATGAATTGTATTTAAAACGTTTTTCGTAAAGTATGACGGTATGTTACAAATATACTATACTTGTTTGCTATACTATGCGTCTCATTTGAAAAAAATATGAAAACTCATAAATATTTGAGAAGTTACAAAATAATCGTCAAAATAAACTTGTTAGGTTACTGATTTTCACTGTTGCTCCAATTAATTTCCAATACCTTTTTATGCCATTGTACAGTAACTACTAGATAATATGTTTGATCTGAGACAATTACATAACGTATTACCATGCTTATTAAAATATTACTTTTTTTTTTGTAAAACGATACTAATATATAATCGCATATTAAACTACTTCGATTCTTGATGAGCAAAAAAAATATTCCTTCATTCATTGCGCACTTGATTTCTTTTCTCCTTAAGATTGAGAGCAAACTTCCGAATGTCAATATCACATCGCAGTCGAGTGTTTTCGGGAAACAAACTTGGTGCAAATGTTAGTACATCTAAGGAAAAATATAATGATCATCCGAATTTCCTAGCTAGAGATGACAGTAAAAGCCAGATATTCATTATCGCATTTGATGTTCACATAGTGTAAGTAGATAATAATATATTTAGTACTGACCTTATAATCTGTGATTTAACATTCTATGTTTAAAGCGTTTTTAAGCAAAAACTCGTTATAGATCACTATTTCAATCGATAGATATTGCGTTGTGAACATTAATAATTGTAACCAAAATTCAAACAATAATATTCTATATACCACGTATTATAGTCTATATAACATGACCTGTGCACTTCGCTGTTCCTATGATTACGATATTGTTTACCTATTCGGTGCACTCAAACGATTACTTGCAATAATTCTGACATTCCAATAGGGACGCTTTATCAAAAAATGCTTATTTTTCAAAGAAAAGGGCTTCGAATTAACACAGATCAATCAATTTTTTTCAAATCATATTTTTTTTATGTACTTGTGTTTTTTTTCATTTTTGCGTGATAGATACTGAATTGTATGGGATGAATCGATATTATATTTGCACAGGTTACACCTGCAGTAACTCAAGTGGACGTTTGTAAGTAAACAAGCGATGTGGTGGTGATAAAATAATATAAAACAAAACAACAGTGATAATAATCGTAGTACGTGTACTGTATTAATGAGTACCTATAACAGCAGCAGCCGACGAGACGTACATTTAATACTTGATAGGATACGACAACATGCTACTGCGCTGCCATAGTCACAACGACGACAGAATAATAATAAAAATAATCATCTGTATCGCCGTAGAATAAAATTGATCGGAAAAACAATGCTATACGTGGAATAACTAAATAGTTGTCCAGCAATCGTAAGAAAAAAAAATGTTTCAAATTCGCATTCCCCGAACTGTTAGCTTCTACATGGCAGCAGCATTATCACGCATTACCAGCTGCAGGGCAATCGGGGTATGATTTATAAGGATTTCGTGATTTAGACCCTACAATTGGACATTGGTAGAAGGAGGGGGGATATCAATGATTTTGAATATTGATAAATATGTTTTTATCAAACTATTATTCAAATACTTAACAATTAAAAATCAGAAGGGAGCTGTTAATTGATACTACTTACGCAGGTTTATTACGTTATACGAATGCAAATCAAAACAGCTGGACATGATACATGATACTGAGTGTATTGAACTTCACTCGCCTCGTCCATGGGCGCCCATAGGTAACATTTTAGAGGGGGGCAAGTGTCCTGTCTTTCACCACTCCCCCCAATGGGCGCTCATGGCCTCATCGCAATATATATGAGTAATAAATTGTAATTTTAAATTTTAAATTTACGGTAAATCCCCTCATTCGGACAAAATGGATTCTGAGTGAACCAAAGATGTTTAAACTGTTCAGAGTATATAATTGTATATAAATTAAACTGTACGATTAACCGCACTATTCATTCGGTTTCAAGTCTCAAATATCCAAAGACCAGAGCGATAGAATTATTAAATTAATAAAAATTCATTTAGTTGTAATTCCTACTTATTCAAAGACTTAAAAAAACGGTTCGATGTTTTTTTCACATACAAATAATCCAGTATACCTTCAACGAGTTGGGTTCTCTCTCTCTCTCTCTCTCTCTCTAAATATTGTATACACCCCTGACTACTACTATATTATATACTGTGTAAACGTAATTTTTCATTTTCCATCCACAGTTGTTCATGATCGACAATTGCGCGGACGACTGGCGGATCGCGATGACGTGGCAGCGGATTGCCACCATCACGATGGAGCTGGTGATCTGCGCGATCCACCCGATCCCTGGCGAGTATTACTTCGAGTGGAAAACCAAGCTGGCCAACAAGCACGGGAAGCTGGATACTCGGTGGGTGCCGTACGATGTGCCACTGTCGCTACCGATGTTCTTCCGGCTGTACCTCATCTGCCGGGTCATGTTGCTTCACAGCAAGCTGTTCACGGACGCATCGTCCCGCAGCATCGGCGCCCTGAACCGGATCAACTTCAACACGAGGTTCGTGCTGAAGACGCTCATGACCATATGCCCGGGCACGGTGCTACTCGTGTTCATGGTGTCCCTGTGGATAATCGCCAGCTGGACGCTCAGACAGTGCGAGAGGTAAAAACCAACCGACCGTCACGGCGCACCAAGCGACCGTCGAATTTATTATAATTTATTATGATATTATTGTTATTAAATCGTATCGTCAGCACTGCAGTGGCGTTGAGTACGGACTTTGTGGAGGTGCTCATTAAACCACCTAATATATTATGCGCCGGCAAAAACAGTTAATTGAATCATAAGACTACAGATATACAGAGCTCCACTTAAATTTAAAATTTACGAATTATTATTTTTTTTTAAATCGTCATTACAACCGAGATTGATTTAGATTTTAGACAAATTCTATTTAGTTTTTTGTGCTAGCATTTGCCGAATATCGTGAAAATCAAATACTCAATTTTAGTATTTTTTTTTTTTTGAAAAAATAAAAGTTATCTTAAATATTTCAAAAATTTATAATGGCTGTGTTACGTTAATACGTATATAATGTCTATCTATATTTATAGTCACAATTGAAACACATTTTTTAATAGAACTCTACGTCACTGTAGTAGTGTAGTATAACTGTATATTGAAATCTACGTACTGGTTATGTTCCGAGGCGATCCTCGGTGATTATTTTTTCGGTCTTATTCATCGTTAGTCTCCGATTCCGCATCGGTACAACTCTTTACGTGCGATTGAAAACGAACAACGCCTTATCGATACTTGATACATGTACATTGTATATATTGATCAACGCTGTCAATCTAATTGTTCGAGTGGTTTTACTTGTTTTCATTGTAATGTAACGGCCGTTTTCCGATTGTGATTCTCGAACATTACGAGAACTCACTATAGTCTATATAATGTTCTCTGTCCGCCGTGCGATCAAAAATAATATTATATTATACATGATAAATACCGCTTTAAGCCAATAACGGTGTATTCTATTATAATATAATATTATTATTGTAATAGGCACGTGCCCATCTTCTGTGTAACAAAAACAATACTATATTTAATATCGTTTTGCAACAGTTCAAGGTGACGTCCGACGCGACCGGTCATATTATTAATTGGTGATCAGACGTTTGTGTGTAGTATTGGTAGTTCTGTTGTAGGACTGAGACATACGATATATTACTTGAACAAGAAAATAACTTATTACATTTATTATTGTGTCTTTCCATAAAGACGTATCCTAAACCTCCGTCAAACAGATGACCATCGCGAATATCGGTAGAATGAACAGTGCTACCTGGTGGTTAATATTATGTATTCGAAGTTTTTGAAGCAATCTCGATGGCGATTACAAACTTAGGTATATATGTATGGCATTGCTTGGTATTTTAACTGTTAAAAGGACGCAATATTTTCCACTCACTTAAAGTATACAGTATATACTATATAGTGGTCGAGCAAAACTAAAAACATCGTTTTTGCCAAACAATCGACTAAACTTGTACCAAACGCGTTTTTGCTCTCTTTCTACATTTTATTCCTCGGCACGTTGAACAAATGTCGGTAAAAATCCAAACCTTTTTCATTAGAGTACATACATAATATATACACACATATTGTGTTTATATATATAAAATTCAATTGTACCCCTCGCGTTTGGCACAGTAAAGTGCTTTTTTTTTATAAAAATGTACTCATGCAATATTTGAACAGTCATGTTATTTGAAAATAGCATGAACTAATTCTTCAGAGACGACGACCAGACATTGTAATTAAATTAAATTCCGTCATTGAAATAACTGAAACGTGGTAGCACGTCACGTTAATATTTCATATGAATATTATCAAAAACTCATATATTTAACTACTTGTAAGTTGTAATAAATAATTAGAAATAAGAATAATATTTTTAATCACCAAACAGTTGCGAATAATTTTTAAACCGCAAACATAAGAAGTATGCTCGTGTTAACCGTTGATACGTCAATAGGTACGTCATAACATCTATTCAAATCTCTCGAAACAACAATATTATAGTGTTTCGTAATACTAACAACGAACCCGCGCTTTGCTGTGTACTGTACTACTGTGTTTGGTTCATATTTTGATTACAAGCGGTCATTCTAATTAGACGAAACCCCAAATCGTTCCAAACATTAAATACAGTATATACATTATACACTCGTGTATTCACTACACAACGCCCGACTAGTTCCTAAAAGGAAAAACTAATCAATGTACATTTGTACGCAGTACTTTTTCGGCAATTCATCAGTAAAAAAAAACCCAACACGAGCGTTTCCAGTCCCCTAAACAAAATCACGATATGACATTAGACAACGCGTACACCGATAAATTTAAAACCTAATAACATTAACACTTATAGTAAATCAGATTCATTCCAAAAAACATCAGAGAATATTTTTTTAGTGCCTATTTTTTTATTTATTTCCGCACCACGTCCTGCTGAGGATATTATTGAAGACACTCGTCTAGTCGTGTGACGCGCTCGTTCACGACGCGCTACTATTCATATACATACATAATATATCACATATGTATCAAATTGTTTCGATACAAAATTCGTGTACACAACTCCTCCCACCGGACGTTTTGGCAAAACTTTGCACAAATCTCAACTCCATTTATCGAACTTAGAAATAACAACATTTACCACCAGTAATTTGCATTGTATACCTTCCTACAACGGAGGTATGCAGGTTATATGTGTTAAATTGTACACTCTAGAAACAAAGCAAAACCGAAAACCAATAAAAATAAATAAACATAAGACCTTATTCGGAGAGTTTTTCATTATCTATAGGTTACATAACCAATAGTTTGGTTTTCCACTTTAAAATATATAGTATTAAATACAGGAGTTAGGAGTTTAAAATGTTTGACGGATATTTCCTATGGTTTTCGGACACAATTTCAAAAACAATAATATGAGTTGTAAGACATTTTTCAAATGTTCATTATTTTTCTGAAAGTAATTTACCTCTTAGGTACAAATGAAATATTATTGTCCGTATTCAAAAGGGGGTCAGCCTAAAATTCCACTGAAATATTACTAAATATCATTATCCAAAGACTTTTTATATTTCTTTTCGAGTTACCCAATAGTACACCATAAAGATTTGAAAACTTATATTTTTCAAGACAACTATTCTTGATATTTGGACCCTCGACCTTACATACCTAACCTTCTCATACAATGACAATGGCGTTTATGTATTTCTTTAAATTGTAAGCCCGCAATTCAGGGCAGTCAGCTGACTGTACACATTTCAGATATTCACCCAGAAATTTGAATGAATGAATTTCACTCATATATTTTAATAAAGAACAGTTTTTACACATTTAAACTTTGACAAAGCATATTTAAACTAGTTTGATAAATCATATAAATAATACCAAGAAAATATTACATGGATACACTATTATTACTGAATGTACATTGTCAGCGAACTATTTGTTTTCTCTATCCTACCCAACATAGATAAAAATATACAACCTAGTAAAATATTTATTTTTAGTTTTTGAGTAATCTTAGGGTAAAATCTCTTATTACAAAACTCATAGAAAATAATATTTTTGAGTGTATGACGTATCAACTTTTCTAAATGTTGTTTCAAAACAGTTTAATATTCATTTAAATGTACAAAACTTTTTGTTTATTTTAGAGTCAAATAATAATAAAATATAATACTGACATGTTAAACCCTCAAAAATTGTATACCCCATCAGTTTTGAAATACTTCTCAAAAATCATAAAAACGATTTTACTTAAATGCATTTTATCTATTTAGCACACGGGTCTGAGAGAAAGAACAAATATTGTGCTGACATCCTTTTGACTGTTTAGTCAATACTGACTCGACGTCAATAAAACAATGTGAATATGTTTATGATATAAATAGCTTAAATTTAGTCTAAATGTTGTGTTTTCTCGACGATATTGAAAAGTATTAGGAATTTTGGATTTAAAATTATTAGACTCCATCTCGACTGGATCTAATTTGCTAACAGAAATTGTTGACCACTCCGAAAACTGACAGGCACAGTTATATAAAAAAAACATATATTATTGTAAGCTAACACATTAATCTCATCGCTCAGAATCAAAAATTGAAACCCTTTTTGACTAACTTTACATAGATAAGGAAAATCATAATTTAAAAAATGTATTAATGTATAATATTTTATTGTTTAATAATAATAACATTTTTTTTTACACAAGTCATACTTTTTAGAAATGGTGATTTTACCCAATATATAAAACACAAATTGCTAAATTTTTAACTCACGACGAGCGAGTAACCGCGATATTATGTTTGTCGGCGAAACAGTGAAAAAAAAGTCAAGACAGTCATCGCGGCCATTCTTCCCTCGTCCGTTTCTCGATTGTATTTTTGTTTTTCATTTCCTTTTTTTGTTTTGCGTCCACGAGTGTGTATATGTATAATGTCGTGCAATACAGTAAGACGAAATTCTAGCCGTGAATCTCTATCCCATTTTCACTGTTTCACAAGTGTGTGTTATATAGTGTAATACTACAGTTGCGAAACGAGTCTTGATCACCTCCGGGCCGTTTCCTGGGGATTACACGCCGGCGGAGCTTTAAAGTAGAATGCGCAGGGCCACCTGCATTATTCACAGGATCCATGTAGGAATAGACACTTTCATGCGCTGTTATTAAGAAATTATTAGAATTGTTTGTATATTATACAGGTACTTTATAACATGGGTGCGTTTGGAAAATCCAAGAAAACCCTTGGTAAAATAATCATGAATATAATATAACGTCATAAATATCAAGTGTTATTGTTAACAAGCCGATGATGGTCATACGTATTTTTGTGTCATGTTATTGTAATTTGCAATTGTGCCCTCAAAATTGTTTTCTACATTTTTCAAAATCTAAGTGCTAACAATAACTTAACCTATTTTTCGGTACATTTATAAAATGTACTCAAACGTGTTATGATTTTTTTTTATATAGGAGCAATCAGTTTTTCAATAACATGTAGGTAAATTTAAAAAAAGAGTGCAAAATCAGTTTTTCAATTTTTTAAAGGTCCCAAAACGGGGTAATATTTTCATATTTT